CAGGGCCTGGACCTGCATCCCTATTCTCTCCCACCTCTTTGTATCATCTATAAGCTTGTCATCATCTAAGTCTACTGTAAAAACTGCCAAACAGAATCAAGGACAGAGCTCTGGGGTGAATGACATCCCTTCCAGGGTACATGAACCAGTCACTCATATAGTCACTCACATAGTCCTAAAGAGAAGTTCTTTTTACACAATTTTGGGGCCAGGGAAGCTGAGCGGTTTGCTCACATTCATACAGTGACAAAGGAGGCGGAAGACGAGGCAGTTCAGAAAGATCACATTCCTCAGCCTCTTCACACAACAACAGCATAAATGAGAAGCTGCCCAAAAAGTTCTACAGTACCCTCTAGCCTGCAATTTTCCAAGCTGTTCTCATGCACTTGGTCTTATCTTTGTCAAAACCCCGCAGGAGTGAGTGTGCATTTCCTCGACCCCTTCCCTAATCAGTGGGAGATGGCATTCATCTGTCCTGATCAGCTTCGCAATCACTGGTCAGCTTTCCCATTTCTGGGGAAAAATATCCAAGACCCATGGCTTAAAGGAGGGGGTGGTGTCTCATGGTTTCAGGGGATTCAGTCCATGGTCAGCTGGCTCCAAGGCAGAAACATCATGGCAGAAGGGGCCAGCAGAGGAAACCCGCTCACTTCATGGTGTCCAAGAACAGGAGAGAAGCACCAGCAAGGGACGCACCCTCCTCAGGTCCAGCCTCAGTGATCCACCGCCTGCAACGGGACCTAACCTAGCACATTAACCCACTGATGAGCACAGGGCCCTCGTGATCCAAACACCTACCCAGGATCCCGTAACCCAGACAAGAACTATGGTTAAGTTTAGGCACAGCATGAAACCTGAAATCCTAACAGTTCACAAATCATCCACTTGATGACCCAGGGGAAGGTTTATGCAGTAATTAGCAAAAGTGTGAGGCTTTTGAGATCTGTCAACTCCATGAAACTGTGAGAGCCACTCCCAGCCCTCACACCCGCCTCAGCAGTGGCCAGGAATCTCCCTCTGGGGAAGCACTTAAAGCTCCCAAACATACCTGCGCCTTTGCACCTGTAGTGAAAGTTCAGTGTCTCTCCATCCTTTTTAAGCGACGCTTTTTTCCTTGGTAGAAGACAGATATCACTGACTGAGAGCTATCTGCTTTTCCTGCCTTCTGCTGTAAATTTGAAAAATCCCTTCCCCTCTGTGGTCGTTAACATTTTCAAGAACCTGTTTGCTCTTTCATTATTCTAGGCTTGTTTGCTCTTCTGTTTTTCCTCTTCTTTTCTTTGGTGTTGTTTTGTTTTGTTTGCTTTGCTGGTAGTGGTTGTCCTAGACACTGACAAAGACTCCCTTCTTGACTCAGACTTAAGTCAGACCCTCTGAGCCCTGTGAGCCTTGTCCTTGGGCTCCTCCTCCACCTCATCCCCTAAGTGATTATGTCTCATTATCCTGGCCTGCTTCAGCTCAGTCCCGGCAGGTGGGTTGAGCCAGAATCTTCCTCTTATCCCTGATGTTTTCTCTCAGTGATTTCCTATCCACTGATTCTCCCATCTGCACCTTGGCTTTCCATTTTCAATTGCCCATGCTGGTTTCAGAGAGGGGCCCAGCCTCTTTCCCCTTACTGCATAAACCCCACGGCAGGAATCTCTAACTAGGGCAGTAGTCCTGAAAAGAACACCTTACCATTTTAACAAGTGTCAGAATCATTTTTCTTATCATCTCCTTTAGGCACCTTTTGTATTTATACTTTTAGAGTGAGAGCTTATCCAAAAAGATCCTTCTTAGCCTCAAAATGTCAAAATGTTTTTCTGTGGGGCTGGGGATTTAGCTCAGCGGTCCTACCACCTGCCTGAGTTCGATTCCTGGTGCCAAAAAGCACCAAGTCCTGAGTTCGATTCCTGGTACCAAAAAAAAGAATGTCTTTCTCTGGATCAAATGTCTCTCTCTGGATCACTCCCTCAGACCCTTCATCTAATAAGAGGTAAGATCACTCAGAAAACCTGAAGATTGTTAATTAATCACAATCAATTAAGCAAGTATGTATCTAAGAAGAGACAGAAGGCCACCTGAGGTCCAGAGAACTTAAATCTTTTAGCAAATGTTAAAAGACAAAGAATTTTTAAAGTAAAACCATGACTCTCCCTTGATATAAAAGGATCTGTTGAATGTTTTATAACTCACGTAACTGGAACCAAAGAAATATTACCATCAGTTAAGGAGAGAGCTCCAATTGCCACACATTTATAATTGGATAAGAAATACTGAAATGGATCTACAAACAGGCCAAACTGGAAAAGCTGGTTGGTATCTTCAAGACAATAAACTATTACATTCCCCAGGAGCCAATTTTTATTTTTATGGAAAGATTGTTTGCCTTACTATGTTTTCTACTATTTAACTTTATCTACAGAGTTATGAAATCACCTAATCTGGAGCAAGCAGAGGGACATTTCTCTGTCAAATCAATCCCCAAAGCTGCCAGCATTCCTTTGGAAAAATATCCACGTAACCTCTTCAGCCATTTCAAATCTTGCAGCTCTTCCCTGTGAAGTCAAAAGACAGCAACAGAGGGTTCAAAAGAGAAAAAAGACAAAAATCATTGACAAAGAGGATAGCTCTGAACAGCAATAAGATGGTCGGGGTTGGTGGTTAGGTTCATGGGCTAGAAAGAGAGAACCCTCAGATCCCAGTTTTGCTACATGTGGCTAAGTCACATCAAGCAATCTTTCTAAGTCCTTCTGTGCCTCAGTTTCCTCTTCTGCTACCCAGCTAAGTTATTAATTGGCAAGGAGTTGGAAAAATGACAGCTGTTATTGTTACACTTCTTTGGAGCCTGCAGTCATGAAAGCATGCCTATCTTCACTCTAAAAGCTGAGGCTAGACCAGGCCCAGAATGCTCTGAAAACTCACACATTCTGCGATGAAATGAATGTTAATTTGCCCCAGTTTCCCGCTGTCTCTGCGAGAGTAACCTGCGCTGCTTCGTAAGTCAGATTCAGATTCAAAATGCTGGGGATGTAGCTCAGTGGTACAGCACCTGCCGGGCAAGTGTGAGGCCCTGGATTCAATTCCTGGTACCAATAAATGGAAAAAAAAAGTGTAGACTGATGTTTATCATCACGGCTTCCTTCAGCACAGGAGACAATACCAGTATCAAGAATGAGATGCTCAGCTATGTGCAGTGCTGCAGGCCTATGACCCTAGCACTCTGGGAGGCTGAGGCCAAAGGATCACAAGTTCTGGCCCAATCTGGGCAAATCAGTGTCTTAGCAAGACTCTATCTCAAAATTTTAAAAATAATAAAAGGGCTAGGGATATAGCTCAATGTAAAGCACTAATCCCTAGTGCTAGTAATCATACGAAGAAAGTATGATTTGCTCTGTGTTTTTCAAGCATCTCCCAGGGAACTGAAGTAGTAAAACCTCTTGTCACAGCTCCATCTGGCTTCTGTGCAGCACCATGTCTGTACCAGAAGCAACATCTGTCTTGCCTCTGGCGGGGCCTGCTACAGCTGCCCCAACACCATCCCTGAGTCCTTCTGTTATTTCGTCTCCTCCAAATACAAGTGAGAGGATTTTCTCAGTCTGGGCTTCTGCAAATGACTGACAAAAGGCAGATTAACAAAGGAAAAAACAAACACAGGTTTGGCAACAGGTGCAGCATGAGTACACAAGGCAGAATTCAGTGATGAATAACTCACAAGATGGTCAAAATCGGGGACTTAAAGAACCCCATTAATCGGCACAGAGTGGCAAGACAAATGAAAGAGGTTTTAAACCCTCGAGGGCAGCCCTGGGGAAACTGAGGTCAGGGTGTGTTGTAGCCAGGTGTTTTGTGCGAGTTCCTTGGGTGCTGATCTAGAACTGGCTCCAGAGCTGTGCGTAGGATCCCTGCCCTTCCTCAGAGAGAGGGGAGGGCAGAGTTTGCCCATGTCTGCTTTTTCTTTTTTCTTTTTTTTTGTACTTGAGAACATGCAGCAGCATGGTCAAGTTTATTAAGCTTATAAATATCAGTATCTGTAATAAAATATAAAATACAGACTATCTCTTTTCCAAATACGAAGTCTCTGAATGCTTCTCTCCATCCTTTGGTCTGAAACCCACACAGCACACTCACGTTACACTGGACACGGAGCGCTGTCGGGGAGGGGGCTCCGCGGGAACACCAAAGGCCTACCTTACAGAAGGGAAACGTGGAAGCAGAAATACTTTGAATATAGACTGTACATTATGTAAACAGACATTCGGAGAAAGAACTGACACAGGCCAGGATATTGTTTTCTAGGAAACCAGAATCTTCTTCCTTTGCAGTCACACACACTGAGGATGCTTTTTGTTGAGGACGGAGCCTGTCCCTGCATTTAGTTATGTGCTTAGAGCTCTTGGAAACGAGTAATTATTACATTCATTCGCTAACAGTTTGTTCTCTGCTTAGCTGGCTGGTTGTGGCAAACAAGGAGTACAGAAACTATTTCAGTCCCTGTATCTCATTTAACACTAGTTAAATCATATATAAGTAATTCACTTTTCAATCCATATTTGTAATATAAATAGATGAGGTGAAGCAGTGAATTTCAAAATTCGTGCGTGGAAAACTAGTTGACAGTTTGTTTCCAATAAGGCTAGTACCAAAATAATCACTACAGAGTCAGTCCAAGCTAGCAGTAAACCCCTGATTTAGCAGGCTGAATCCAAGTTTGAAGTTAGGTAATTCTAATTCCTATATTACTGTGCAAATATAGAATTTCCTATGTAAAAGAGAGTGCTGGCAGCATCGAGGCCCTGTAGTGAGAGAATGAAATACCGATTAGGTTTTGAAAGGCAGAGAATTCATGTGAAGAACTTTAAATGTCTTAGTGGTGGCATCACAGCAATGGCCTCAGACTTCCTTTAACAAATCAGAAGCTGAGACAATTCATTTGTCAGTGTTCTGAGTCAAAAGCTTAAATGTGAAGCGAGTGATAAACACGCAAAACTAAAGGTGAATTTTCTACTACGGTCGTATGCGAGAGTTTCAAGTTTTATGTCGACCGTTCTGTACCAGCAGCTCCCTCTGAGGGAAAGGCTTAGTCATGACTGTCCATCCCTCTTCAGAGCTTCCAGTCTCTGCAGGAGCACATTTCCAAACGCTTCCCGGTGGGCAGGGCTGAGTGTGTCCAACAGCAAGTAGACGGTTTCGTGGTAGGGCATCTGCAGATGATCCTCTACCTGGTCAGAGGCGTACCCTACCATCCTCAGTCCTGCTTCTGCGAGCTCCAGGCAGTCTCTGTTCCTTTCCTTGGTCTCCACGTTGATATAGGCCACGTCGTCTGCACAGCACAGGCTTTTTGAGACAAACATGTTCTTGACGGCAGAGAGAACATCATTTACAACGGCTTCTGCTTCTAGCCTCGTATCTTTCACGCCACTTCCTTCAAAACCATTGAGCTCTGAGCCTTCTTCAAATCCTGACATACTGCTCAGCTCCATGGGGTTACAGTCTGTTTCCACTCTTCCTCCTCCTCCTCTTCTCTCCGAGGCATCCGGAGCCGGCCAGCGGCCGCCCCTGCCTTCACCATCACCCTCGCCGCAGGAACCCATGTCTGCTTTTTCTTAAGCGTCTCCAGCCCACAACATCTTCCTGCCCGAGTGGCATATCATGCTTGGCGCTTCAGGACCCATCGGGGGCAGTGTGAAGAGAAGGGACAACAAGAGAGAGGCCTGACAGCCAGCTGCCAGGTAGAAGGGAATCCACTGAATTTTTTAGCAATAGCTCCCACTGGATGAATGAATGAATGGATTATAGTGACCCTTATTGTGTTATGGGTGCTGTTTTAGCCTTTATGTGTGTTTACTTTTTTATAGCACAACGCATATTTTTAGAATCAGGGGAAAGTTTTTGATTTGGGTATTTTAATACAGAACGTGCCTTGAATCTGGTCGCCATGATGTGATAATACCTACTGGCTTATCTGGCGCAGGAGGCAGGAAGAAAGTAAGACAGCGCCAGGGTGACTGCCTCTTCTTTGGTTCACAGTTGACAATGAACTAAAACCTTTTAGGATTCTCACTAGTCTCAGCAAACAGACAGTTAGTTACCTAACTCTGAACTCTAAAAACAGCTGTGTCGGGCCAGGGATTTAGCTCAGTGGCACTGCACCTGCCTCACAAATGCAAGGTCCTGAGTTCAATCTCTGCTACCAGAATAAAACAAAACAAAACTGTAGTCTACGCCCTGCAAGTTAGTTATTGAGTACATGTTAAATTGATTATCTTAAATTATTCAAATAAACATAGAGTACCTCATCTTCCCCCCCAAAATTGTAGAGGGAGTATGTGTGTGTGTTTTAACTAGGGATCAAACCCAGGGCCTCAAATATGCTAGATAAATTCTCTACTGTTAAGCTATTAACCCAACCCTGATTATAAATGTATTTAAAGAAAAAAGTCACCTTTAATTTTGTGTGTGTGTACTAGGGATCGAATCCAGAACTTTGCCCTAAACTACACCCGTCTTTTTTTTTTTTTTTTCAGACAGGTTT